GGCTTGTGTTGCTCTGTCTCCATCATGTTGGCCTTCAGCTCAGCTTGGAGCATCCCAGGAATGATTTCCTGGGCATATTTCTGTATTAGTTTGTAGTATTTGTCTGCCTTAGTGCAGGAGAATGAGCTTAAATAACTGTACTGAAAGCAAATTTTAGATTGGCAGTGACACCTCTGACAGTGGGAAAAATGATGGTGGTACAGGCAGGTGAGGGAAGGAAAAAACCAGCCTGGATGAGAGCCTTGAAAGAAGAGAAAATAGAGAAGCAAGTGGAGATAATTGTCAGGGGAGAGTAAGATTGGGATGTTTTTGTGACCAGGAATAAAGGAAAAAGCTTTTTGGTGATCACTGTGAGGATGAGCAGAGGAAAATGGACAAATTTCTCTGGCTGGTGAAGAGATGAGGTCAGAAGTGAGAGCGTTAAATATCCCAAGATGCCATTTAGTGCTGTGTGTTCCACTCCTGCCCCAGCCCCCATGGACAGGAATTGCTCTGGGCACCTGGGGCTGCAAATTCTCCCTCCCTGTTTCCTGCAGGGCAGGAGGAGATCTGTGTACTTATCTGAGAGGCTGGGTTTAATTTCCAGGAGGATGTAAGTCTGACTTGTTTATGTTGGAGCAGCGAGCAGGAGAGGCCAGGAGGAGACCATGTGTGTAAGAGCAGGGCTGGATTCCCCGTGGAGCAGAGGAGCCTTCCTGGGCATCTCTCCAAAGCTGCTCTCTGCATCAGGCATGGGGAAAAAAAATGCATTTAAAATGTTTTTTAAAAAAAGATAACAACAGCAAAGTTCTGTTTCAAAGGATGGAAGGCTCCTTATCCACTAAATACATCCCATCACGTAGATTGCTGTGATCTCCAGAGACCTTCAGGAGCTGCAGCTCACCACATCAAAGGAGTGTCTGTGGGGCTTGGAGTACAAACATGGAATATTCAGGTGCCACAGGGGGTTCACAAGGCTCTGAGTCCGTGCCCAGGGAACAGATATTCCCTTGCTAAGACACCAGCTGACAGCCTCTCCCTTCCAGACAACTCTGCATCAAAGCTGACCTGAAAAACTTTTTTTTTAACACATTAAAACATGTCCCAAACTTAAAAATGCCAAAGTCCAGGTTTAAGAACTTTCCCTCTGCTTAAAAGGTGTTTCTTTACAAAGTAAGTTTTGCTTGTCCTCACAGATTTTTAAGCTCTGGGAACCACGGGCCTCTCCTGGCAGTGTCTGCATGTGCTGAAGGGGGATGATCCAGGAGAGTGATCCATGCTCCAATACTGGTGTGGCACATTCTGATCATCTTCTGCTGGCTTCCCACTGCCAGAGGGCAGGGCTGGGTGGGATATTGGGCAGAGATTCTTGGCTGGGAGGGTGGGGAGGGCTCTGGCACAGGATTCCCAGAGGAGCNAGCTGAGGCTGCCCCTGGATCCCTGGAAGTGTCCAAGGCCAGGCTGGATGGGGTGAGGATGAGGATTTCTCTCCTCTGCCCGTGGCACAGAGTGGTCCAGCAGTGTCCCCTCCACGCTGAGCCAGGATCAGTGCAGGTGACCCCATGGCCCTGTGAGCCCTTGCAGGACTGTCAGCCGTGGATCTCCCTCCCTGCAAGCCCCCCAGGAGGTGGGGGAAGGTGACCCACGTGTGTTTCATGGCAGGAGATGGGGACCTCAGGAAAGCTCAGCACCCTGGGGAGCACTGGGGACACCGGGCTCAGTCACACTGGGGACACTGGGCTCAGTCACACTGGGGACACCGGGCTCAGTCACACTGGGGACACCGGGCTCAGTCACACTGGGGACACTGAGGCTCAGTCACACTGGGGACACCGGGCTCAGTCACACTGGGGACACTGGGCTCGGTCACACTGGGGACACCGGGCTCGGTCACACTGGGGACACCGGGCTCGGTCACACTGGGGACACCAGGCTCGGTCACACTGGGGACACCGGGCTCAGTCACACTGGGGACACCGGGCTCAGTCACACTGGGGACACTGAGCTCAGTCACACTGGGGACACCGGGCTCAGTCACACTGGGGACACCGGGCTCAGTCACACTGGGGACACTGGGCTCAGTCACTCTGGGGACACCAGGCTCGGTCACACTGCACTCTGCAGTGCTTTGACCAGGACTGGCCCCGTTCCTTCCACGCTCCCACAAAGCAACATTTCCCTGCTTTTCTGGGATAGTTGCCCTAGTGGGACCTGGAATGGAGTCCTGTGCCAGGCAAGCAGCCAGCACACGTCTCAGCAGCGGGATGTTCTCCCCCTGCAGCCCCGCAGTGTCCGGGGCAGCTGGATGGGGATGAAAACCAACATCTCCCACCAGCTTGGGCTGGTGAGGAGAAGGGCTTGGTCCCTGAGGTCAAGGAATTAATTTGCTTTTTGATCATCTGTGGGGAAGAATCCAGCAGAACCCCGGGGTGCTGCTGGGATGGAAAGCAGGCGCCTGCTGTCTCAGAACTCTCTTCAAAACATTTCTTCTCTGGCCAGCGCTGCTGGAGGCTTTCCTGGATTGGGTCTGTGCCAGCCTTGTAGTGCTCCTGTCCCCAGTTTGTCACCTGCCTTGCTGTGTCCCTGCAGATGTGACAGAGCCCTGCTGGCTGCTGATGGTGGGGAGAGTCACGACGTGTTTCTGTGTGCTCCCGTGGCTTGGCAGAGCCGCAGAAATCAGCATTTCCCCCTTTTATGGATCCCCCTCCCCTTCTGCCAAATGGGAATAACATTGCAGAAAGTGCCTGTTGTCGTGAGGGAACAATTTGGTGGCATTCAGGAGTTGCTGAGTCTTGAGCAGCTTCTGCTGGTCCAGCCAGTTCTTTGAAAGTTGGAGTTTTTGGGTACTTTTTTTCTTTTTTCTGTTCAAATAGCAGCTTGCGACGGGCCAGAAACTGTTGTGACAGAGCCTCTAAAATCCTTAAGCTGCTTGAATCACTCCAAGGAGCCAGGCAATAAAAGAGCTGGAATAAAATGTATCCCACAATGTCCTTCACTTCTGCTGACAACTGCAGTTTAAATTACTGGTGCAACCTTTTAGCATAGCTGGCTTGTAAGAAGTAATAAAATATAAAATGAAGTTAGAACAGCGACTTGCCACCTCTTTGATGGAGAGTAGGGAGAAACCATCCTTTTTTTTGAGGGTGAGCCTGTGCTGGGGTGCTGTTATTGCTTTAATGAGAGTGATCAGAATAAAATATTAACATATTCTGGAATTTTCACATCATATTAATTACATAGTGTTTATTAGACACGGGCCTTCACTTTAATCATAAAGCGGCATTTATTCTATGAAGAGCCTGATGTTTTCCAGAGCTTACATTAAAATCAGGCTTTTAAAAAAAACTCTTAAGCCCTCTTCCAGTGAAAGGTGTTGAAAAGGGGTTGAAGTGAGATGATCTCTGAGGTTTTTCTAGCCCACACAATTCTGTGGCTCTCAGGAGAGCGATTTGTTCCACTGATAGATTTGGGCATCCCCACTGCCTGATGATTCCTTGGCTCCTTTGCCCCGAGTGGCTGGAGTTTCACAGGGACTCGGAATAATTGGTGGCTTTGAAGGAAAAAAAAAACCAAACAGATTTTTGTTTTGTGAACTCTCAGCATTCCAAGCTTGCCATAAAACATCTCCAGCCCTGGGAGAGGCGGCGAGGGCCGTGCTGGGTCCAAACCTGGGTGAGGTTTGGAGCGGAGATTTCACAGGTCACGTTGGAACTCTGTTGAGTAACATCTCCTCTCGTGATTTCTGGAGAACCCTGGGAAGAACTTTGCAATCAGGGAAGGAAGGAGAGGTAGAAGGGTCGTGGCTGCTCTTGTTTCTGCAAACATTTTGTAGCCGGGTGCGGATGGAACCCTGCCAGGACCCGCAGCCTGCCAGGAGCTCCCATCACGATGTGTTTTCCTTCTTTGTATCCCAAAGATGTGGGCACTCAGGAAGTGTTTTGCCAGCTGAAGTGAAAGGGATGGAAGGGGATGGAATCAGCCTTTATAAGCAGTGCCAGCCTCCAAGGACCAGCCCTGACTCCCTGCTGGGAACTGGGACTGGGGAGAGGCGGCGGGTGTGGAACACATCAGTGAGAGTCAGGGTGGGGAGAGGGAGGTTGAGATGCTCTGCTGTCCCAGAGGCTGTGTAGGAGGATGAAGGCAGGATGTGGATGGCCCTTTTTGTTTTAAAACAAAGGGAAATGCTGCTGGATGGCCAAGCAGAAGGATAATCCTGGAGCCTCGGGCTTTTCTTAATGAAAGGTATTTTAATTTTCTTTTAATTTTATTTATCTGTTTGTCTGCTGAAATCAGACGGGTTGTTTGCAGCAGAGGCATGGCTGGGAGAGGATTTGAGCTAGGGAAAAAGCTGGATGAAGAATTGGTGGGAATTGCTGGGCTTGAGGCTGGGCTTGGTGAGTGGAACTCTGTGGTGTGTCACGGAACAGGTCGGGCTGGGTGGCTTTCCAAGTGATCTTGGACCTTGGCACTTATGGAACAATGGAGACAGTGATTTTATTTAATATTTTTGTGGGAAATGATGGCATGGATGTAACCTGAGAGTTGTCAGTTATCAGAATTTTGTGTGAAATGAGCTGAGAAAGCTGAGAATGACTGGAAGCAGGCTCAGAACTGATGGAGCAGGGAGCTGATGACCCATGTCTGATTCCTTTTTAGATTTGCAATATCCCTCCTCCAGGTGGTCTCATTTGTTCCTGATTCCCCCTTTAGTGTCCTTCAGCCTCCCTTACTCCCCAGCAGCCCAAAATGTCAAACTTGTGGGAGCTTCCAGGCTTAAGACCACGTCATAAATCACAGAATCCCAGAATGGTTTGGGAGGGAAGGGACCTTAAAACTCATCTCATTCCACGCCCTGCCATGGGCAGGGACACCTTCCACTCTCCCAGGTCACTCCATCCCTGCTTGGAGAGGTCCAGAAGGAATGTTTATGTCACAGTGCCTCTCTTGCACGATGCCTCAGGGCCTTGCATAACTTATTTCTTGAATCCATGTGTTTTTGTCTGTGTTTTTCTGTTAAACAGGAGGGAAACCCTTGAGATCAGCGCTGGGAGAAAGAAGAGAGGTGGCGAAGGAGTCGATGTGGGATGTGGGACAGGTCTGAGCCAAGGAGCTGAGGGACAACAGGTAAAGAACAGAGGAGCACTGCAGTGCCAGGCTGCCCCACACCCGGGGTTAAATTGCTTCTTCCCCCTCTGGATTTTTACATAATTTACTGAAACATCTCACACCCTTCCAACAGCACTCTTCTCCTCCCCACAGCCCAGTTGAAATAATGGTGGGATGAGAAAAACTTATAAAAATAGGGCAGGACCAGCACAGTGTCACCCCCAGAGCTTTAATCAAGCCCCTTACAAATTTTTTGGCCATCAGCTCCTTCATTTAATCATCCATTAATTGCTGAAAGTTTTAGCCAAATTAATTTGGCAGAACTGCAGGCGAAGAAGCAGCATTTCACAATATTCTGGTTTCAGCAGTTTTCAGTTCTGATTTTAAAAGCAGTGTTGAATGTCACTAATGGTCTGAGCTCAGTGTCTGGGTGCCTCGGGATCCAAATCCCTGCACACAGCTCAGGGGGAAGTTGGACTCTGAACATTTTTCTTCTTCTTCAGCATCATTCTCTGGGCAGATTGTTGTCCCCAAACTCTTTGTAATCGAGGTGTGAGGATTAGTCCATGGGTGCTGATCACAGCTCTTGCGGGGGTGTGTGGCTGCCTGGGAGCCTTCCAATCTCACTGCAGAGGCTGGAATTGCTGCCAGCAGCACATTTCTCCTTCCCCAGTTTTCTTCTCACTCCTGTAAGGAAGCCAGAGGATGAGATTTTGTGCCCTGTGCTGAGCTCCTTCAGGCAAACAGGCTCTGGAGTATTGTCAAAACTGCTGATGAGTTTGGGCTCCAGCAAAGGTGTCAGGAGTGAAGTGAAGGTGTCACTCCTGCCTGTTCCAGGGAATGGCATTTCCTGGCACAGGGACACAAGGACACCACCAGGCACAGTAGCATCCTGCACAAAGCTGCTCTCTCAGCCCAAGTTTTGGAGTGGAAGCAGCACGTGGATTGTGACTGGGAGCCACCAGAGTTACTCAGGTCAGAATCTGGCTGCTCAATCTGACTCCTGCTCTTGGGAAGACTTGAAGTGGTACAGCTCAAAGCACCTTAGGTGCTCTCATGGCCTTTTGGCCATGAACTCTGCTCCTCTCTGATGACTCACAGCCAGTTCAAGCCCCTTTTTGACTCCCTGTCAGAGGATTTCTCCAGGAGTGCCGTGTCCTTGGGAGCATCTGCTCCGTATATTCTTGGGCTGAACAGCTTCCAGCAGGCTTAGCTACTGTGCCTGTGATTTCCTGCAGGAAATCCAGCCATGCAGGATGGTGTTTAGCTTCTGGGACTGTGACTATCAAACCATCACGACCTTCTTAAGTTGCCTTTTTTTTTTATTATTTTTTTAAACCTGTTAGCTGTCTCCCCACCCCCAACCCCATATCTGTGCATCCATGGAGCTTTTTTTGCCTGCCTTGTTCAAGTGAAAGAGTAAATCCTTTTTGATTTATTCCAGAGCAGCCCTCGAGCTCAGCTCTTGTGAGAGCCTGTTGACTTGGAGTTCAAAAGCTCTCAGGTCTTTGAGGCCAGGCTGTGGTCTTCCATCTTGCCTCAAAGTTAAACTGAAAGAGAAAATTCCTTTTTTTTTCTCCTTAAAAAGAAAATCACCATGCTGTGTAAGGGAATCAGACTTACCTGGAGCAGCAGAGAATGCCAGCATGCAGAATTCCAGGTTAAAATCTGGTTGTTTAGCAAGGCTTTATTTTCAAGCTCCGAGTTGTTTAGGAAAGTGTTTTATGGAGATAAATACTACTTTAAAAGCTGTGCTGTTGCCTGGCTGGGATCCAGCCTGTGATCCTGTGATTAAAGCATTTTTTGGGTGTTTAAACCACTACATTACCACAGTGGCTAGAAATGGTAGTTCTTATCCCTAACTTCCTGCAGATCTGCGGGGTTAGATTAGATATTAAAAAGAAATTCTTTATTATAAGAGTGGTGGTGAGGCCCTGGGAAGCTGTGGCTGCCCCAGGATCCCTGGAATTGTCCAAGACCAGGTTTGAACAGGGTTTGGAGCACCCTGGGATGGTGGAAGGTGTCCCTGCCCATGGCTGGGGTGGAATGGGATTGTCTTTAAAGTCCTTTCCAGCCCAAATCATTCCATGATTCAGTGAGGTGCAGACATATCTGTCATATATTTATGTGTGTGTGTGTGTGATTTATGTGCATATGCAGAGCAACACAAACCTGTAAGAACTATTTATATCCTATTTCACCTCCACAGGGCCCTGCTTAGTCTGGATTTATGCAGTTGTGGCTGCAGCTGTGAGCTAGGAAGGGCAGAGGTAATGGATGGAAGACTTTTAATACCTGTAGGGACCCTCCTTTTAAAATCCAGCCCCTCTGGGCAAGGTGACCTTGGCTCTGACTTGGGAATCCTGCAGGAGGAAGGAGCTGCTGATCCATGGAGCAAAGGTTTGGCCAGACAGCAGCAGAAGAGAAGGCACAGGTTGGGCTGGTGGAGTTTCCAGCACAGGTGAGGTTGTCAGGCTTGCAGTTACACCTATGGATGCTCTCCCAGATTTGTATTTACACCTGGGAGTTATTTTAAAAAGCCCCAGTCCTCCTATGGCATGCTGGGGGGAGAAACAGCTTTTTCACCTGCCTCCAAGCAGCACAAAGGACTGGCAGCAAAAGTGACAGCTCAGGTAGTCCTCACAGGTGTGAGGAAAATCCCACATGGTGTTTTGCCAGCCCTTCTCTGCACAACTCTTGCAGAAATCCTTTCTTTCAAAGTTTTTGGGCCTGTGGAGAATGTGCACGGGAACACCTTGGTGTTTTACCCCCCTTCCAGGAAAAAAAAATGTGTAGAAAGCTGAAACTGCAGTAATTCTCTGGCATGTGTGGGTACAGTAAAGCCACACAGCTCAGGTGACAGTAAAGGACAGGTAACAGACTGGCTCTTCAGCTGTTCTGTTCCCACTCCTCCTGCTCTTTCTTCAGCAGAGAAAACCCACATCCCGACCTTCTCCCGTCTTCTGAGCCAGCAATAAAGTAGGAAAATGTTTTTTCCCTAAATCTAATTTGAAACATGATGACTGGACCATTCTTCAACAGCTTCCAACTTAACAATAAAGAAACTTCACAGAGTGCTTGGCAGGAGCCTCTGTACATAATTTAGATCATAATCAGATGCATTAACACATTTTATATGGATCTCATGGGGGCCAGGAAGACGAGGTGTGCTGGGTAATTTCTTTCCAGATTTCTTTACCTGATTGTTTATTACTCTTGGGGACTTCATTTGTGGTCCAAATGTCACCAGCAGAATCCTGCTGCTTCATGTGCCTGCATTCAGAGTAGCTGCTAGCGAGGCTTCCAATTCCTTAATTGCTGTGTTCTCCTCAGTCTTTCCATCCTTGCTTGTCAAAGGGAGGATGGGGAAGGGAGAGAGGGAAGGGGAACAAAAGCAAGGACCCAAATCCTGCAAATTGCTGAGCTTCCCCTGTGCCTGGAGCTCGATGGGAGGGAAGGTGCTGAGAGCGCTCCCTGTTTCCCACTGAGTACAATCAGGAGCTGCTGCTGGAGAGCTGCATGAGGGAAACACTTCCTCTCCCTCCCCTTTCCCTTTGAGATGTTCAACACAAGCAGCTCTAATTTTATAAATCTCCTGAAAGCTTTTCAACACTCAGAGAAGAGAAATGGTCGTGTGTCTCTCACGTTGCTTGTTTTGCCACGAATCCACCCATGCCCAAGACAGCCTTGTGAAATTTCTCCTTTGACAGAAAAATCTGTTGCTGCTTTGAAAAGTGATGTTTTGTATGTCTTTCTGCTCTGCTGGTTTGTGTTATCCCCACAAAAGGTGGGAAGGGAAGTTCCCTGTCACTTCAGCAACTCCTTTATACGTGCTGGAGTAATAACCCTCCCCAGGTTGATGGGATTTGTTACTGAATGCCATGGGGTAGTGTAAAACTGGGGTTCCCACTCCTTCCCCAGCCTGGCTCTGCTCCCAGGTGGGTGCACAGCTCAGCTTTGGGACATGAGGAGCTGCTCTTCACTCGCTCATCCAGGCTGGAACCACCCAGTGGTGGCCTCAGCCAGCTGCCACTGATCCAGAAGCTGGCACAACCAGGAACCAAACCTCCAAGGCCTGGGTGTTTGGGCAGGTGAGAAACCTCAAGAGCATGAAAATGGCTGGATTTGGGCCAGAGAACAGGCCCTGGGACCACAGCAGCCCATACCAAAACCACAGAGCTCCTTCTTCTCCCTTTTCACTGATAACGGTACCAAAAACCACCCCAGGCCAGAGGAGAGGCATGGATTTGTTTTCCTCTTTGTTTTTTTTTCTCTTTAATAATTGTTCATCCACATCAGGTGATGATGCAACAGCATCCCAGATTAGCTGAGCTCGTAAAGTTTTACCTTTATTAGCACAGAGCATCACACAGAGAAATGACTATCCTTAAAAATCAGGGTTGATGGGGTTGTTGAATTTCCATTTCTTGTACTGAGTGAATTCTTGTGTCTCACCCCGTAGCTCCAGTGCCTTGTGCTGTGGAAGTGTCCACAGGGAGAGAGGAGAGGGTGAAAAATTAAACCAAAGTTTGGGTTGTTTTGCTCTCCTGAGCAAATCCTTTCCCCTGCATCTCATGATTCAAAATTGTCAGGAGAGCATCAGAGCAGCCTGGTCCAGGCTCTGAAGGGTTTGTGTGAGCAGGGCAGGCAGGAGTACACGAGGGAGAAAAATATCCCCAGTCCTTTTGGTATTTTTAGCCATGTCACAAGCAGTTTCCTTGCTCCCAGTGCCTGAGTTCCCAGCTGGGATTGATGAATTCTCCTGGGGTCAGTGGCACACACAGTTTGGACAAGCTCAATGGCTTCTGGGTCCATCCACAAGAGCTGCTGCTGAACAGGAGGAATGAGGAATTCAGGTTCTATTTAGCACTGGAATATATTCTGCTACTTTAAACTGACAGAGGGCAGAGTTAGGTTGGATTTTAGGAAGAAATTCTTTACTCAGAAGGTGGTGAGGCCCTGGCACAGGGTGCCCAGAGCAGCTGTGGCTGCCCCTGGATCCCTGGAGGTGTCCAAGG